CTATCATGGAGCACCTGAATAGGCATCATAGTGACCCTCTCACGCGCGAGCCACTTGTGCCTTCTGAGCTACGGCCAAACCTGGCTTTGAAGCAAGCCTGCGAGGAGTTCCTCGAGCAGAACGGTTGGGCTGCCGATTGGTAGTACAAGAACAAGCAAATGACGATGAAAGTTGGCAGCAAGCGGATCGGAGGTCTTTTGACTAAAATCTTATTAAATGCTTGGAGTTTCAGGTGTTCAGAAAGCTTATCCCAGATATGCTTTGGACTGGTATAGCGTAACGGTTTGAACGAATTCATGAAAGTAATAACGGCGATTCTCCTCCTAATCTTGTACAATCACTCGTGCTATCAGTGCTGCAGCCAGTCGTTTCATAGATAGCATCTTTTTAACGTATACAACTGATCTTTATTCATCATGTCGTGTTCCTATCCTCCACTGACCCGGCCATCATGTCCCACAGCAGTTTTGTATATGAAGGTAGTCATCAAGCTCGCGCTCCGTCCAAGCCATGTTCTATACCCTACTTAACCCAGGCGTGACGACATTATACAATCGCTATGCAACCGAATAACCCAACCAAGCGAAACCCAACCCAGTAGCCCAAAAGAAATGAACTCCAATAGCGCCGTGCAAATGCATGTTTTCACCCCTTCCTTGCTCATAGTACCACCCCGAATGCTGGCATTACCCATCGGATTTGCCCCTAGAGAAAAGATGGGCCCGGCTGGCTATCGTCCTTGACGAGTCCGGCCCGCTCTTCCTCCGTTGGGTCCGCGACATGCGATGTTGATCTAGACGATGAGTGAGGCCGCCGGAAAACGTTATGGAATGAAAACTGACGTCGTGTCGTATCCTGAGGTTGTCCATGAGGCGGGGGCGTCGGAGGCGCAAGGCTGTCACCACTTCGGAATGACGCCCCTCGGTACTCAGTATCCTGTCCATTGTACTCGTGCTCCCGAGTTTGACCGTAGTAAGCGGCGTGTTCTTCGTCGGCCTTATCCCGGGGGACGGCAATCTCAGTCAGGGGGACCGGGTGCATCGGGCTGCGGGGCCGCGGTTTATCGTCTTCATGATCGTCGTTGGCGTGTCGGCCTGAGAAGTTGGTGAAGCCTCTGGCTCTACCTCGAATGGTACCTGCAATGCTAGAGAAGAGTGTGTTTGTTTCCTGACGGTTGTTGTCATCGTCGCTATCGTCTCCGTCTTCGACCGGCGGGAACTGCGACATCCCTAAAGGTGGGTGCCTTGGGCTGCTTGGTCTTACAGCAAAACGGGGTGAGGCGGGAGGCATCGGTGGTGGAGGCGATGTCACTGATCCTGCTCTAGAACTGCTAATCGTTCCGGTCCTGAAAGTCATTGTTCGTCTTCTTCTCAAGCCATCCCATTCCCACTCTGGCTGCTGTCCATCTTCTCGGATAGGGTCCATTGTGTCCATCATCATCTTTTCCTCGTGGAGTCGCTTGAGCTCTTCGGCTTCCATTCTAAGTCGTCGCTGTGAGATTTGTCGCACAATGGCAGCGGCTCCGCGGATGGCATCGGCCTTGGGTTCTGACTCTGGCTGTTCCTGCTCGGCAATAGTCTGGATCTGATCGAGGTCGCCGCTGAAGACTGCCGCGTCGGGCACATCCTTTGCTGATTTTGAAAGCTGTAGTAACACTACTCCGGAACAAATTGTTAAGAAACCTAAAACAACGGTGACGATAGACTGGGCAGTGCCCTTGAAACCTTGGAAAAGAATTGCTGACGTGATAATAGTCGTACTGGTAAAGTAGACGTAATATGTCGGGGTAACGAGGGCTGCGTTATAGATATTGAGCGCTTTCTGTGATGAGTTGTTAGCGACTGAGATACAGCGGAGAACTGGGCCCGTACGTTGAGATAAATGATCTCTGTCAATAATGTGCCAATGACAAAGACGAATAAAACCCATAGGAACCATTCCTTGTACTGAGGTTTGCCGCCGATCCAAGCAATGATGGCAGCACCCAGCCCTTGAGTCGAGACGACACTGAGTCCACCAATCCAGCTGCAGATTGAGATATAGACCAACATGTTCTTGTTGCCATATCTTGGTCCAGCCCATAGTGCAGTGGCGATAGATCCAACTATGATGAGGCCGGCATAGGTGAGGAATCCGGGTGTAATAAAGTATTTCTGCATCTCTTGAATATCGCTGACGGATGATGTATGCGGAGCATTCATAACAATAACAACCGAGCCGACAATGCAGAGAAAGCAAGCAACTTTCCCGACCATGCTGAGGCGCTCTTTGAGGAAGATGGCCGAGAGGATAGCTGTGATAACAACGGACAATGCGCCGAGAGGAGTGACGAGAATTGCATCGGTGAAGGCATATGCGACAAAGTTGAGGATTTCGCCAATGATCATGAGTGTCATTCCCGCCCACCAGTAGAAGTTTTTGAGGTATCCATATCCTTCTCCGGCAACCTCGTTGTATTTCTCGTTGGCGCGCAATAACCCGACCTTCTTTAGGACGAAAGAGATACCGATAAAGACACCAGATCCAACAGCCAAACCAATACCGACGGGTTTATAGAATCCAGGTCGATCGCTCGGGTCGCCGCCGAGGCCGCCACTTCGTACGAAGATATCGGCGTCCATTGCGGTCCGATAGCCGATGTTCAAGACGAAGGCGGAGGAGGAGAGTCGAAGCGGAAATCTAGACTCTATTTAGGACCACATGTGCGATGGTGACGGTATCGGTTGCGGCAGCGACGAAGGACTCTCTCTGGTTTATAGGGGGTTGAAGCAAACTCTATAAGCTCATAAGAAAGATGAACAATTGAAAGTATGAGCCGCGGAGAAAGTACCTAACGATAATGTAGTTCTAGGAAGAGAATATACAAGAAGAAAGGTTGAGAAAGCAAATAGTCTGTCTAGTGCAGGGCTTTGAAGTTACTGTATGAAAGTAAAGAACCTAGAAACCTTGGAAACGGCGTCGCACACCCCAGGCCCAGCTGGGCCAGCTTCCATCCATTTGTGATGAAAGAGCCTGGATGAATGTGGGTGGGCTCCTGAGACACCCCAAGAGAACAAGTATCGGTACATGCGATACCCATTTAGGCGCTGTCCCCGCTGCAAGATGCCAACTCCCAGTGGTCCCCAGCCAACCACTTCACTCAAACCTAAACAAGCTACAGAACAAGCTCCTCCATCTGCTGTTACCAGTCCATTGGGCGGAGATCTTAGCGTTGTAGACATCAACAAAAAAAAGAACCTAGACGATGGATCTATGTATGTATAGTACGTACGTGGTTCGGCATGTTAGTGACAGTCAATACCCCGAGGCCGAAATAAGAGAGAGATCATTTATAATTTCCTTGGCCACGATTAATTAATCAACTAATGAATTACTACCGGGGCATTCCAAGTTTACGACCGAAATGCCATGGGCCATCACCCGCTCAACGGGCTCTTGGACCAACGGGCGCTAAACAAATCGACGTCAGCACCTCATCCATGATGAGCCTGAAACCCATGAGACCTGTGAATCTGGTCTGCTTCAGTGGCTGCTGATGACTTGGAGATGTTTGATAGGGGTCCTTGTATCGATCGATGCTTGACCTGCCCATCTCGGTAAGCCCTTGGCGCAGCATTTGGGGACTCTGATGTACAGGTACTTGATGACCCTCCGCCCCCCAAAAAGCCACTTACATACGTACGTCGAGGGGCTAGATGATGACGATGAAGCATTGCGCATCTCCTGGCCAAAACTCATTCCGTTGGAGACGGAGTCTAAACGTTGAAGATTCTTTCTCTTGAATTGATCGAATTGACCGCTTCTACTCACCTGCATGTTCTGTAGAACAACACTGTCAGCTGTACGGAGCTTGACCGCTGGAATAACGAATGTTCTTACTGAGCTGATGGTGGCTTCAAAACTGTTAGGCCAAGGCGGACTCTACTCAAGCGCATCCGCCAACGTGGGGTCGCCCCGGGAAGCAAGAAAACCTCTGGCGTTGGACGGAGGTGTCACAAATACCTAATTTAAACCCACAGAAACCCATGCTGAGCTTACTCAAGTCTTTTTGTCATTTAGTATAGAGGTCCTGAGTTTTCTTGCCTCCCTTTGGGCGGTTGTTCGGTGAAATCTAGACCCAAGGTCTGGGGCTCGTTTTCAGCTTCCAACGTTCAAACTATGATACTCACTGAAATCTATCTCATCCTATGGCCTATTGTTCTATGTAAGATCCGTGTCCGTTGGAGTTAATATCGTCAAAAGATGTGATCAGCACTATTCATCAACCATGTCCATGACTCCCGAACTCTCCGGGCAACAGCACTCATCTCTCCCACCGCATTAGTTAATGTCTGGCCTTGAGTCTCTCACAGCCAGCAATATGGGACTTTCCGAAGCTATTTCTGTCTCGGGACGACGCTGCATGCATACACGACTCAGCCTGTGTCGACTCCACACACCAACTGCACATGTGGTGTTTCAGAGAATTGTATTCTTTTTTTTGCCCAGTGATCGACAGCGAATCGATAAGTTTCGATGTCTCAATTTGCTTGTGGGTCGACAAATCGACCGGTTGCACCCTCCGAGGAAGCATTGAGTTCCATTAATGTTGATCAAGCGAGGTTCGCTTGATACGAACACGAATTAGGGCTGACGATATATGGCGTAGTTCGGTTGGACTACAAAAGTGTAGAAATCCTTTGTACTTGACCGCTCTTATAGTGGGCAGACATATAAGACTTCGCGCGATTACAGTACCATCTAGTCACCAGACTCACGACTATAGCGTGCTGCCATGCAGCTTGACGGACCGTTTAAGCTGCATCTGCGTGGCGTCAAGAATTGAGTGATGCCGTGTGGCTTATGCTAAGTTAATCCATAATACATATAACTTTGTCGTTTCCTATCGTGTAAAGGGGGTATCTCGATCTTGTATTCATAAATGCCATGATGCAACCCATTCCACTGAAGACTAACGTTTCCCATCTCATGCTATCCATGCCATGCCATGCCATATCGTGCTATTTCTTCTGAACCGGGACAATCTCCTTCAGCCACTTCTTAACCCTCTCATCCAGAGGTAACTTCTTGGCCTCCCCTTCGCTCATTTTCTTCGCAAACTGCTCTTTCAACTTCTTCTGAAGGGCCAGTTTCTTCGCGTTATTCTCTGCCTGTAAAGCCCTACTTCTGGCGCGCGATTCAGCTATTCGTCTCTGTTTTCTCGCCTGATGCTCTACTAATCGCTCAGGAGGCACAGGCTTGCCGGTATGCTTCTTGACCTTGTGCCAGAAAAGCTTATGCTGCACCTCAAAGTTGTTATGGGCGCTATTGTACATCGAGATCCGGCCATGGCTTTCGAGTAATTCCTTGAATACAATTTTGTACTCACTCCTCGTGGCTGTCTTGGAGAATCTGAGGCCCATGTCGATGACGGCGCATGCCAGTTCCTTGGAGCCAGGGAGGTCGAAATTGATCGCCATGAGAAACGATTGTGCCTCGGGATGAAGTGCGTGCAGAGGAGTGCCTAGGAGAGCTGACCGGACGATTCTAGGAATGAGTGATTTCGGTATTTCCTTTCCGCCGTATTGTTGCCACTCAGGTCGGGCTGAAGGAGACAACGGTTCCTTCGTGCCCGAATCCTGTGGTTTGGGTGGTTCTGATACTGCGGATGTATCCATCTTCTGTCGCTTGGCCGGGTTCCTCGGTGGAGTGCATGGCGTTTCTTCGCGTGATAAAGCTCGCTTCCTGGTGATGGGATCTGGTTCCGCATTCTCAACGGGCATGTCGAGGACAAGAAAGCGCAGAGAGCCATATGAGCTCACGTCGTCAAATGCGTCATATAAACCATCCTCCGTTGAATCATAAACATCTGCATACTCATCATCTTCCTCATCGTCTTCCTCTTCGTCTTCTTCCTCCTCCTCCTCCTCCTCCTCTTCATCGTCTTCTTCTTCTTCTTCTTCTTCTTCTTCTTCTTCTTCTTCTTCTTCAACTTTATTTATTATCTTTCTTCTCTCATACTCCTCATCGTCATCATACTCGTACTATGAACGTCAGTCTCACCCTGAAAATGAGACGAAAAGTCGATACATACGCTTGTTGTTGTTTCATCAGCAGCCTCAGCCACAAGCATAACTGTTAGAGCCGTTGCGAGATCAAGCTGCTCTCTCCGGGTCATCTCGTTCTTGATAATGTCCTGGACGACGATATCCTCGATTGTCTTTGAGTCAATTCCCGAGCCTTCCGGATACAGGTTTTTCGGTAGCCACGACATCTCTCTGGGGGCTCTGTCGCACTTATTTTGAGGTGAAAGTTGATGATGTCGATGGCAAGAGGTGAGATTCTGTCCTCATCGTTATTTTCTAGAAGGAAATGGTTGATTTTATTCCGCTCGTCAAGGTCCGATAAGGCGAGTGAAGAGCCCAACTGGTGGGGAAAATGACCATCCCTGACCAATCACAGCCTTTTTCGCTGACGATAGAGCCGTTCTAGAATTCTGAGTGGCAGAATTTACTTGGCATGGTCGCTTATCTCGTAATTTGTGTTCCGAGGCCGAGTCTCGCGAGTCGAGGCCTTTTGTTGACTAACACATGTAACCATGTGGCTTGTTACCTTTATATATCACTACTAAGTTCACAACGTTAACTCAAGCATGTGTCAATAAGCTACACATGCTTTTCGCGCTCTAAATTCTCGCGTCTAAAATTCCCTTCAGCCACTTTAACTAACGGTTCAACCAAATAGCGATGGTCCCCAGTTTTTAAGGCTAAATGCCCCTGGCTCCTGAAATTAGCATGTCGCTCTTTTACCAGGAAACAGATCCTCCGACCCATTCTCAGCTGTAGCGCTGACGGGAGACATGTTTGAAGCGTACACGGCCCTATCAGTCTAGTCATGACCCTAGCTTTAAGAGGTTTACTCCCAGCATTAGTTGTTTGAGGACGATACTGTGCATTGAACAGCCTCCAGGTATGAACCAATAGCTTATATGGAGTGAGATGGAGATACAGGGGATCCTTCGTGTCCGAATGGAGTCTTGGTCGCCTTAAATCAATTTTGAATCCTTCTTAAGGGATCCTATTTCCTGGAACTTTCGCGTCTGAGCTGTGCTAGCTTGTTCCTTCGTGTCTTGTCTTTGCCTCTGTCTCTGTCTTCGTCTTTGCATTCTAGCTTGCGCAAGCGCAGTTCTATATATCCACTTAAAGTACGTCCGCTTCGAAGTTATATACCGATTGATTGTCGTAATCCCTTCCTACAATGGCCAACAAGAACGCAAAGTCTCTCTACGAGGCTATTCCAGAATGTATTAGCGGATGCTTCGACATCAGTGTTGCTAATACCGGCTGTGCCAACAACGACTACGACTGCTGGTGCTATAAGCCGAATCACCAGACCATCGTTGATACGTTGGAGCAATGTCTCTCAAATAAGGAAAGGAAGACGAAAAAGAAGTGTACTGAAGATGACGAATTCGGTATGTCGTTGTCGACTCGGCAGGCGAATGCTTTACTAACAGAAGTCAGAATATGAGAATAGTTATTGGAAGATCTGCGAACAATATTGGGAACCTTATGGAACAGCTACCGAACCAACATCATTCCCCACTGCTGTATCATCTACAACCTCAGCAGCGTCGACAACACTGAAGGTCTCGACAATAGTCGCTACTACTGCATTATCTGAAGAGACAGCCGCGGCGGAAGAATCTACGTGGACGAGCCTCGCACCAACTGAGACTGGCGACTCCGAGCAAGCACAAGTATCTGATGAAGCAGACACAGTGGCACCTACCCACAGCGGTCTCTCGCCAGGAGGAAAAGCAGGGGTGGGCGTTGGTGTTACAATTGGTGTCATCTTAATCGGTGTTGTCGTCTTCCTCTGGCTGCGTGAGAGGAAACGAAGACGCTCAGTCGAAGAACAGCTCAGAATTGTTGAGATAGAGAAGGCCAACGCTTCTCAAGAAGGATATTATGTTAGCAAGGGATTGTACGAGATGGAGGGCGATCGGCCTCATGCGGAGGAACTTCGTGGATGTATGAGAACGCCAGAGCTTGGTGCTGCAGAGATGATAAAGTCAAGCAGCGCGACGCACGTGGGACCCGTGAGTCCATCTGATGACGATAGGGACTCGTCGTTTTCGACACGGAGTCACTCGTGGCCCATCTCACCTGAGAGTCCAAGTCGTCAGGAGTCAAGAGGCCTGGGTGAGATAACGGACAATAACACGGCCAAACCAGCGGCTACTTGATGAGTTATTGTCTTTGATGACCATCAAACTCTTTTCTATACAAACTTACTTACATGATTCTTCTTTTATTGTTATTTCTAACGACTTGACATAGCTGTCAGTGGTGGGAGGAGGACTCAAACGAAAAGCCCCCACTCTTTGGTATTGACATTTGGATCGATAATTGAATACTGGTTTTTGGCTGTTTGAATTGCTGGAGTCGGTCACAGAAATTACTGGTATAAAGGCCTGAGCTCGGTGGCATTCTCTAAATTTTGCCAGTCAACATCACCCTCGATACCAATATCGACATTCCACACATACATTTCAGCAACAATTCATCGATTCGATCAAACTTCAAGATGTCTGAGAACCGAGACGCCATCATTCAGCTCCTCGAGCGTCTCAAGCAGGAGAAGCACCCTGGCGCCCAGACCCTGAAGGTATTCCTAACCACACAGACAGCTTCGTATGCAGCAGAACTGACCGAGTCACAGGACTACACCAACGAGACCTCCAACCTCAAGGACGTCATGATGGCGGTTGTTAAGGACATCGTCGTCGCGAAGAATGTTCTCGGTCTCACCGGTGACCGTGCTGCCGGACTCAACGCTTGCCGTGAGGAGCTCTGCTACGCCTACGTAAGTCACTCTCTTCTCTTTGCTGCTGTCCATGCTGACAAAATATAGGACAAGCACTGCCGCACCACTGCGGATGGCTACGACCGCCTCTTCCATCCTCGATTCACCTGCCGCATCCAGACCTTCAAGGTTCTTGCTGCTGAGGATCAGGTCGAGGTCATTCTCCGAATCCCGCTTCGCGAGTACAACGACTCGCCTCACGTCCTTGAGCCTGGCAAGTGCGAAGTCTCCCTCATCGTGAAGGAGAACTAGTTGAGCGCTCGCTCATGATTTTGACCTGACTCGGAGCTTGGGAAATCATCACGTGGTGTAGACAGAGAGACAGAGTTGCAGAAAGCACAGCGAGATCAGATGGCTCGGACAGACTTCTAACTATAAAATCATACTTGGTATTTGCTTAGGACTCACCAGAATCATCCCTCAATCACTAATGTTGCTTGTGATAGTGATCATCCAATGTCTCCCATGGCGGGGAATAATAATCTATGATGATCTAACCAACAGACGATAACACTCGCGTTTAGTCAATTACTTGAAACAAAATGCGGGTAGTATGTAGATAAATCTAATTTGGAATCGAAGAAAATATATTTTCCTCTTCATCTTGAGTTTTTTAGTTCAGATGGGAAGATATCATAAAGCCTGGTATTGGGAGTACTGGTTCCCCCTCTCCACTATTTTATCTCACTACCAAATCTCCCTCTCTCAACATCGTCCTCTACTCCTTCGATTTACAAACAACACCCAAAAATGGACACGAGCATCAATAAATCCAATGAAATCAATGAAGGAGAAGAAAATGTTGCTCCTCTTGCTCCTCTTGCTCCTTTTAGTTGTCTTGTTTGTCGGAAAAGCAAACTGAAGTGTGACCGTACAAAACCTTCCTGCAGTCGATGCAGTAAGCAAAGCTATGATTGCGTTTATTCTTTATCAAGGCAACCGTACCAAAGCAAAACCCGCGGCCAAGCAAAAGAGTTGGAGGCCAAACTCGGTATGTGGTGTCGCTACCAACTAGCAGGATGATTGTTGAACTCGGTCGCGATAGGACGCCTGGAGAGACTGCTTAACAGCTCGCAAGAGACGGGGGCATCCAACACCGAAAGCAGCCAAAGCAGATACAATCCTTTTGCAACAGCTGACTCCACGCCGGCTAGTCAAGAGGAAGACGCCTTTGTCAGGCTGGGCCTATTTGAGGAGTCGCCTCCTCGACAGTTGATCGAAACATTGTAAGATGCCCTGCCATACACTACAACCCATCGCCTCTGATTTAATAACAATTGCATCAGAATGAACATATACTTCAGCAGAATCCATCAGGTTACACCCCTGCTACATCGCCAGAGATTTATGGCATCCCTCTTCCTGCCGGACCATATGAAGCCTCCGATGTGTCTTCAATACATCGTTATGGCCTCTGCCGCAGAGACATCTGACGCCTACCGCCGCCTGGGCATGGTATTTTACAAGCGTGCCGTAAAATACCTTCAACAAGACGACTTGGGTGTATGTCACGACTGTCTCCCTTCAAGACACTTGCTAAGCAAAGGACATAGGACATCAGTGAAAGCTCAATAACTCTAGGGCACGTACAAGCCAGGGCTCTTATATCCTGTTTCGAAGCTGAGCACTCTATGTTTTCAAAGGCTTCTATAACACTCTGTTCTGCCATTAGAGCTGCACAGATGCTAAACCTGCATCAAGTTGACTTCGCCAGATCGGGTGGGGACCAACATATTGACTGGATAGGAGTTGAAGAACGACGCCGTACATGGTGGACCATATTCTGCTATGATCGCTTTACCTGTGCCACGACTGGATGGCCAGCACTTATACATGATCATAACGTGAGTTTCCCGCCAGAGTCCTTCTAGCATACCATTGAGCGCCGTTCTAGATCAAAACTCGACTTCCAGCCTCAGATAACGCTTATGAGAACGGCCAAGAGGAGCACACGCGCTTCATCGGAGACCAGTTACTCGAATCCGAACAACACTCCACGTTTGCTGGAGCTGTGCTCGCAGCGCATATCTTCCACCGCACCATAGAACATACTGGATCGAATAACAGCCAGTATCAAGAAGATCAGGACTTCAACGGAGACTTGTACTGGCAGAGGCATAAAGGCATTGATAATGATCTGAAGTTCATGTTATTGATGCTACCAAAGAATCTTTGTCTTCCTGCCAACTACAGGACTCACAACGCTATTTTCGTCAACGTCATGTTGCAGACTGCTACTATCTGCCTTCACCGAGCAGCTTTGTGGAGGATGAAGTCGAATTTACAGGGGTTACCGGTTTACCTGATCCGGCTATCTCAAGACCGTCTACTTCCAGCAGCTGAAGAGATACTCAACATTTTTAGAATAATACCCGATCTTGGTGCGACGTTTACGAACCCCCTTATTTGCTTTGCTGCATATATGGCTTCTCTAGTATTTATGGCAAGTACATCTCCGACAGAGCCTGATAGAGAACATGGTCAGAATTTAGACTTCACACTCAAGATTTTGGCTACTTTTGGTAATACAAATCTCGTTGCCAATGCTTTGGCGAACGAAATTGTCAAGGAAATGAAGCAATGTGGTATCACATCTCCTTCCATGCACAAGGTTGGATATCAATACTATTTTTTGTTATACAGATACTTACAATTCATCATAGGTTAACTTACAAGAGACACCACTAGATATCCCATTACTCGCTACGCAACGTCTTTATTCCTATCCACGGAGTTCGTTCTCTTGAGGATGCTGGTAAGCAAAGAAACTGGCTGTCACCTTCTCAATCATTCCACAAGGCTTCCAAGACGGACACCACTACTATTACAACCCTAATGACTATTACGACTGTATCTTCAGCCTTGATACGCAAAGAAACGAGCCCCCGAAAGACCACCTCCAACGAATCTCTCAACTATTTGGGAGCAAAGTCGCTGTCTGTCTCGAGCCAAGTTCCGAATGTCATCAACTCAGGGTACTCCTTTCTCAAGGCCTTCAAGTCCGCACCAAAACCCTGGTCCTTGAACCACTTGAACATATACCCCAACTCCTTGACCATCGCCATGATTGGGTAAACAACAAGACTATAGGTGTATGGGAGATCTCGTCCCGTCTTCTCCTTGAAAATTCTTTCGAATTCCTCGAGCGTCAGTTCGTCACCTGCAAGTGACACGGCACGGCCGGCATATTTCTCAGGCTGAAGGAAGGCCTGTGCGCCAGCGACGCCCACATCGGTCACTGTGACGAGTTGAAGAGGTTTATTCTTGACAACTAGCTTCCATGCTGTGACGAATGACTTTCCTAGGAAATTGTCTGTCAAGTTTTCCATGAAGGCCACAGGTCGAATGATGAACCATTGCATATCAGTACCTGTGGTACGGGAAATCAAGTGCTTCTCAATCTCGTGCTTTGTAATAAAGTGAGGAACTTGAGTTGGGTTGTTCAGAGAGTCTTGGCCGTGTCGATCAACTGAAGTATAGACAAAGAACTTGGCCCCAGCATCCAATGCAGCATCGACAAGACCCTTTCCCTGGGCTACTTCAGCACCATCTCCTTGGCCCATAGGGGACTATTTACAGGATCATGTTAGCATCTAAACTACAGCCATCAATAAGCGAGTGTACTTACCTGGACACTGAACACTCCCCAAATCGGCTGTTTTGTAACTTGGCGGGCATTTTTGAAGATTGTGGCTGCGTCAGACAAGTCTCCCTGGACAAGCTTGATGTTGGATGATTTCTTGAGAAGCTTCTGAGCTGAAGGAGAATTGGGGTTTCTGGTGACAGCGAGAATCTCCACGCCGGCCCTTTGCTTGACGAGTTGATTGAGAACAGCACCACCTTGCTTTCCGGTCGCACCAGATATGAGAATTGCTCGTGACATTCTTATGATGTTCAAATTGTCGACTTCTGAGGTAGAGTGGTTATAATAGTTTAGACTGATAAATCAATTGTCTATGGAGGTGATCTATCAGACATACTATATAGTATTTTGCAACAAGGCGACCAGTCATCACGATCTGTAATCATTGTGATAGGGCTGTGTTCATTATAAAGCATATCAGTGGCCGGTGCCCGAATACACCGAAGCTATGACGGCCACAAGCCCGGGTCCATAACAAAACACGGGTTGACTATTGAACTCCGGTGTGAGAGACGGCCGAAAGAGTGGAGACGGATTAATTTCGCCCTCCGAATTGTGCGGTTCCGTCCCGACCAGCTCCGATCTTCATGTTCGGATCAACTATCATCGGCAACACCAGCGGCCAGTTATGAATGTGGATCATTCATGGCAGTGGTAATGAAACCATCAGTGACATAAATATCAAGTTTGGGCCTGCCAAAGAAAAGAATAGGTACGGCGAATCTGTAGTTTTGCCGAGGACTACTTAAAATATCTGCACGAATTGAATTCTTTAGATATTGGTATTCAAGTTGTGGCAGCATCTTGCGTCCTAAATCCACCACTCTCGGGTGATCATCATTCGATACTATCACAAACTATTCATGGAAAATGAAAACTTCGAAACTCAATGCGTCTTTTCGGTGGTTTTATTCTAATTGAGGTAGTTCCTCATGCCATAGAACAGGTCGAGATTATCTAGATGAGAACTCAATTCGGGTTACCGGTGAGCGTTATCGGCATAATAAGTTAATGTAGTGTAAGGTTTTGAATTGCTACTTCTAATAGAAAAGTGAAGCTCCTTAAGTCATGAGACAGGAATGAAGAAGAAATAGGTATATATCAGAGCATCTGCACATCAGGCGCTGATGCGCCTTATATCTTGCTGCATACTGTGCATTACACTGTCTGATACTGTGCTCTACAACCAAAGGTCGGCAATTTGTGGATGCGTTTTGAAGCTTCACCCGAACAACACTATCGCGACCCGTGAAACCATTGGGAGCTGGCCCGGCCCAGCATTACCTCCCAGCCATGTCTGCCGCTCTCTTCAGATCACGAGCTGCCGTCTCCGGTGCCCGAATTGCTTCCTCCGCTCGTCCTACCATTCCTAGGTTACAGCTCGTCCAGCGCCGCAACGCATCATCTTCCTCTTCGGCCGGTGACGGAGCGGCTCTCAAGCTTGCCCTCTACGGCACTGTTGGCGCTGCTGCTCTATACGGCTCATACCTCTACGCTACCGATACCCGAGCTTTCTTCCACCGTTGGGTTGTCCCTCCATTCATTCGCTGGGCTTTCCCTGATGCTGAGGACGCTCATCATGCCGGTACCGTAGCGCTGAAGGTGACTTATGAGTTTAATCTTCACCCTCGAGAGCGCGACACGACCCTCGACTCCCCTGAGCTCGCCGTCAATGTATTTGGAACCGAAGTGTCGAACCCAATTGGAATCTCTGCTGGTCTTGACAAGGATGCTGAGATCCCAGATGTACTGTTTGAGCTTGGAGCTGGTATCGTTGAGGTTGGAGGCTGCACCCCTCTTCCCCAAGAGGGCAATCCCAAGCCTCGAGTTTTCCGCGTTCGCAGCCTTGATGGCATGGTGAACCGATATGGTCTGAACTCTCGCGGAGCCGACGACATGGCTATTCGACTTAGGGATAGACTTCGACGATTTGCCCGATCTCTTGGCGTGACTGAGAAGGATGTTCTCAATGGGGAGGCCAATGTTCCTCCTGGCAGTCTACGCAAGGGCCGTCTTTTGGCTGTTCAGATCGCCAAGAACAAGGTGACAGACGAGCGGGATGAGAAGGCCATTGCCGATGACTACGTATACTGTGTACGAAGACTAGCTCGCTACGCTGATGTTCTGGTCGTCAATGTCAGCAGCCCTAACACACCCGGTCTGCGGGACCTTCAGGCTACTGAGCCCCTGACAAGACTTCTCAGCGCTGTAGTTGACGAGGCCGCCAAGACTGACCGAAAGCAAAGGCCCAAGGTCATGGTCAAGGTGTCGCCTGATGAGGATGAGGATACTCAAATGGAGGGCATCGTTGAGGCTGTTCACCGAAGTGGTGTTGACGGAGTCATCGTGGGCAACACAACTAAGAGACGAGATGGTCTTGTTCCCGCGGGTATTAAGCTTACTGCTCAGGAGCAAAAGAACCTCATGGAGACTGGTGGCTACTCGGGCCCAGCTATGTACAGCCGAACACTCGACCTTGTTCGACGATACCGTAAGTTGCTAGACTCGCGTTCTTTCACGGCAACAACTGGATCGCCACAGAAGGTCATCTTTGCCACAGGAGGCATCACCAATGGCGAGCAGGCACGAAACATTCTCAACGCTGGCGCGAGTGTAGCCATGATCTACACAGCGATGACATATGGTGGTCCGGGTACTGTTACCAGGATCAAGCGGGAGTTAAAAGATGGTGGAAAGAATTAGACATGCTATAGCAACATTTCACGTTTTATTTATTCGTCATAGGCATCAAAATGGGACAAGTTATGAGGTTCAAGTGGTTTTATCTGCTTATCAATTTTTTCCCCCTACATTTGTCTGTTTTAATGTCAAAGCCCCCAGTACCCAAAAGAAGCTCCATGCCGTGAACTCATGAAGAGTAATCAGCTGCTTCTCAATATTCTGACCTCCCGTTGATTGGGCCCGGCCATATCAAGGGACGAAAGACTGGCCATCCAAATTAGATGTCAGTATGAACACTCCTCAACTCCAGGAAACATAGGGGACAAGGGATAAGTGGCTTAAAAGCCAGGCTCCTTGTCCAGCCACTGTCGAAGAGCATCGACGTAGCCTCGAATCTGGGTCTGAAGAGCAGTGATGCGCTTGTCGGCGTCACTGATCTCCTTCATGGCCAGGTGCACATTCTCTGGCTCTGGATGCTTGCAGGCTTTCGCAATTGCCGCCTGTGCCTCCTTCTTGTTAATGACGAGGCGCAGAGACTCTACCAGAGGCTGTAAGGTCTTCTTACAGTCATGAACCCATTCGCGTCACTGATTGGCTACGTTTCCAGCATTGGTTATCTCCTTCTTGTTGGTGATGCTGGCGTTGACCAGATAGTTCTGGTCTCGGGTATTCTCCTTGTACTTCTTGAGCAGGATTTCATACTCGTGCTGGATTTCCTCCAGGCTCCAGCTTTTACAGTCCCCAGAATCCAGGAGTGTCCAATTTTGCTGTCTGTGTCTTGCTGCCCTCTTTTCTTGATTCTTCTCCTGTTGACGAACTGACAGGGCCCGGAGCATGCCACGAATACCGTTGGCATGTGAACCTTGAATAGGCTCCTCGAACGGGTTCTGTGAGGAGGACATGATGTTAGAATTCAAGTTAAAGTGGGATGATAGGTAGACAAGTTGAAGTGGTAAGGTGATTTTGGACCCCTGGGGAGACAGAAAGTTGTGAAAAGAGTACTGCGATGGTAAAAGTGCTGTGAGAGGGTGTTGTAGAGGCTGCGGAGAGCTAAATGGTATTTGGTGACGGTTGAATAATTGAGCAGACACAACTCACTATATAAAAGGGAAATTTGAAATCATCCGCAATTCCCCAGGCCATTTTGATTCGTGTGAAGCTTCTGCTTGTGCAGAGTTTGTTCCGTGAAGTAACCGCCGAAGGATACCACCGTGACAAGGTTCTTTGGTTGTGACGCTAGGTTCTCTGGAACTCCATGGACTGATATACTATTACAATATGTTACCTGGATCAGTTGATACTGTTATCTGGATATAAGGGTTGTTATGTGTTGAGTCGAGCATATACTGCATGGTTTTCGAGTTCTTCCCAAAGTGATCAGGTGAAACAGTGTCTATATAGGTGAACAAGGTCGATTGGGATGTTGTTCGGGAGGTCGACATTCTTTCTGTGCTGTTCGACGACCCTAACAACTATCTCATTGGCCTCTTGTTTGATAGTGCAATCAGTGTTGCAAAGTTGTCACTGATCAGGGGAGATTTGTTGTTTTGAGGCCTAGAAGGTTATAGAACCCAGTTCTCATAAGTCAAACACCCATATGTATACTAATAGTCGATTCTTTCCAGTTGAGGGGCACAGGCGTTGAACCATTGTTGAAAGCTTGGACCTGACCACACCCGACGTTGGCCAAAGAACTGAAAGTCTGGCGCTTTAGATGAAGTTCCATGTGTTCAGAAGACTGAGGAGAGCTAGTAAAATGGACTGTCCTGAGTCTCGAGCTCAGACCGCATCAAGCCGGCGATGATCAGGGCCATGGAGACATGAGAAACGTGTCGAATAGATAAGGGACCTGTGTTCGGATTATCAGTACTGCAATAGATATATGTATTGACTATCCAAAACTTACGAGCCATCCGATATCTTTGAATTTGGTTGCCACCACAGCAAGGCTAGCTTGATCTTTGCTTGATAGCAATTCTAGTCGAACCTGTCAGTATCGTGTTCTGAGAGAACGATGATGGGGTGACTCCTTTACCCTTGCAACTTTGGTCGTCATATCTATAGTACGGCAGCTCATTTTTTGCTTAAACCCTCCTGTATATAGGTATGTATGTAGAGAGACTGGCCCCTGCATTATTTCGGTACTGTAGTGTCGAAGGGAGGGGTCTATAGTCGGGTGTTCCTGATGACATCTGGAATATAGATTGATGTCAAGGTTGAGATTCATAAGATGCTATAATCATTCTGTCCCTCTTATATAATTTACACGCAGAGGCTTAGGTAATTGCGTGTCCTATTTGTTAAATCGTCAAATGGGTAGCTACGTGCAGCTCGGCGTACATGGTGCTCATCTTGGTGATCTAGGCCTGTGAAGGCTCAATGCTTCATGCACGAAGAGACGCCTGCACTTATGCTATGGGGCGGCAGGAGGCACGATGCAGGAATATCGGGACATCTGTCAAAAAATGACAGAAGACTTAGGTAAACTTAGGATATTTCTATCAATTTTAGTAGTCTTAGATAACTTACCATAGGTTTGGTACTGTGTATAACAGGCGATACATCTAGTGTATAGACGTTCCACCAATAGGTCTTCATGCATACGGTCCGAAAGCATGCAAGAAGCCGTAGTGCATTCTTTTACCTCTGATGAGGATTGTGAATTAACCTGCTGGCAGATTCTCAAATAGAATGGTGCTTTGTTCGTGTGGCACTAATAGGTATATCCATAGCCTATCTTTGTCCCTGTAGAGTTTACATTGACGAACAAAATGTATCGACTTTCGGGAATAACTATATAGATCTCAAGTTGGGGACAGAGTAGTATTCCGAAATATTTACCGTGTATCAATTGTGTCTCATGTAGGAGCCATCCACGTGCGCTCAATCTGCACAAGGTCGCATATAAGCTAAGATGAGATTCGGTTAGAGGCCTAACATCTTAACTTTCCAACAACCGAACAACGAACAACAGCAAACAATAAATTGACACCTGATATTTGATTGAATCATGGGATGCGACTGCTGTGGCCCTCTCGCACCAGCTGCGGAGTCGGTCACTGCTGAGACGCCTCCTCCAAGCGACATCGGAAGTTGCAAGGATGCTTGCTGTGATGGAGGTGACGCTGCCACTGAAGTCAAGGAGGAAGAGTCAGCAAACAAGGAACGGGATGATGATTGTTGTGCTTCTGGTAGCTGTGAGGAGCCAAACAAGGATGACGCACCGGAATGCTGCCGCGGAAAACCGAGCCCATGCTGCAATGCTTCTTGCATTGACCGTATCGCCATACGAGAGTGCGAGCTGAGTGCTTCTCACAAGCGTAAGTCCGTCACAAAAGCACTGCTAGCGGCACGTTGCTAACACTTTGCAGCGGATGCAACGGGTTGCGGCAGCTCTAGCTCCAGCTGCAATGGTGCAGCTGACGGCAAGGCATGCAGCAAGCACAGCCTATCTGCTCTCGACCGCTACGGTGCAACTCTGAAGGCGCTTGGGTGCATCTGCCGCGCTCTCATTGCCCTGGGTCAAGAGTCGTGCTGCGAGACCAAAGGCCGCTCTGTTATCACCAAGCAATGCTCCAAGAAGTCGTCTTCCCGCTCTCTGATCCGTACATCAACGGACTCCTGCTGCAGCACCGGCTCTGTTACGAAAGAAAAGGCTGTGGAGAATCGTCTCCGCTTACGAAAGGGCTCCAATGAGAGTGCCAGGTCCGCCAAACAGCCCTCTGTCAAGGAGAGCTGCACCAAGCCGTGCAGCTCCGTTGTCAAGCCCGACAAAGAAGCAGCCTCTAAGAAGTGTGCCAGGTCATGCTGTTCGGGAGATAACAGCAAATCCAACTCTCCTGAGGCTAAACCCGTCAAAGACAAGGACAAGGACGACTGTTCTGGTGGGTGTTGTTCTAAGAAGGCTGCACCCAAGAGCCCACTCATCGATAAGAATTGTGCCAGCAACTGCTGCAGTGATGGTGATCTTTCCAAGAAAATTGTTGAAAGCAGCGGGTGTCCCGATAAATGCTGCACAACTCAGCCGGAAGAGCCATTCACTGCCAAGAATGGACGAGTGGCTGAAGGTGCAAAGAGCAACTGCGCAAAGTCCTGCTGTGACGAAGAAATAGCGGCTATAGTCAAGGAGCTACCCAAGTCTACATATGCCAGTTCCTGCTGCAAGCCAGCTGAGAAGATCGTCACCAAATCCTCCGATAGCTGTGCCAATTCTTGCTGTGAGAAGGCTCCATCTATCACCTGTCGAGACTCTCCGGCGGATGCTTGTTGCGTGTCTACGTCGTCTGAGAAGAGAGTGAAGATAGAAACAACACAAAACCCCGCAGATGTAGAGAAACAGGCAACAGGAAAGGAACATGTGGTTCTCAGCATCTCCGGTATGACATGTACAGGTTGCGAGACTAAGCTCAACAGAACTCTTGCTACAGTCCCAGCCGTCAATGATCTGAAGACCAGTCTCGTTCTCTCACGTGCCGAGTTTAACGTTGATCTTCGTCTCGGCTCAGTAGATGAGGTTATCAAGCATCTCGAGCGAACCACTGAGTTCAAATGTGAACGGCTTCAGACCAAGGGGTCTAGTTTGGATTTCATCATGAATGGCAGCACGTCTGAATTTACTGGCCAAGCATGGCTTGAAGGAGTTTTGGATATGAGTCTTGTCGAAAAAGATACTGTTCGAGTTTCATTTGATCCCAAGATCATCGGAGCACGAGACCTGGCTGAAAGATCTTGGGACCCTCCAATTCAGCTTGCGCCTCCTCGTGGTGATTCGTCACTTGAAGCGGGCAGTAAACATGTTCGTCATGTTGGGTACACCACTCTTTTGTCTGCTGTTCTCACAGTTCCTGTTCTGGTCATGGCTTGGGCTCCGCTTCCTGAGAGAGAGGTCGCATTCTCTTCGGCTTCTCTGGCCTTGGCCACCATTGTTCAAGTTGTAGTTGCTGGGCCTTTCTACCCGAAAGCTATTAAGGCTTTGGTCTTTTCTAGAGTCATTGAGATGGACTTGTTGATTGTTTTGAGCACAAGTGCGGCCTACGTCTTTTCTGCTGTTTCGTTTGGATATCTCATTGCTGGCAAGCCCCTTTCAACTGGCCAATTCTTCGAGACTTCCACCCTGCTAGTTACCCTGATCATGGTCGGACGCTGGGTGGCAGCACTTGCTCGCCAGAAGGCAGTTGAATCCATCTCAATCCGATCACTCCAGTCCTCGACTGCCATTCTGGTTGACGAGAAGACCGGCACAGAGCGTGAGATTGACGCCAGACTTCTTCAGTATGGCGATGTCTTCAAGGTTCTACCAGATACTAGGATCCCGACAGATGGAACAGTGATGAGTGGTTCATCTGAGGTCGATGAATCGATGCTAACAGGCGAGTCCAAGCCCGTGGAGAAACAGTTCAGGAGTGTTGTCATTGCAGGGTCTATTAATGGCCCTGGAGTTATGGCAGTTCGCCTAAACCGCTTGCCGAGCGACAACACCATCAACGCAATCGCTGCCATGGTAGATGAAGCCAAACTATCAAAGCCAAAGCTACAGGACCTGGCGGACCGAGTGGCCTCATATTTCGTCCCCGTGGTTGTGGCGTTGACTATCATCACTTTTGTCATTTGGGTTGCAATTGGCATAACTGTCCGTGGCTATGGTGGCTCCAAGGCAACGACAGAGGCAATCACATATGCCATCGCTGTTCTCATTGTATCCTGTCCTTGTGCGATCGGACTTGCAGTACCAATGGTCATCGTCATCATGAGCGGAGTCGCAGCAGAAAGAGGCATCGTCTTCAAATCCGCAGATGCTATCGAAGTTGCTCACAAGACATCTCACGTTGTTTTTGACAAAACTGGAACCTTGACCCAGGGAAAGCTTTCTGTTGTTGCAAATGAGTGTGTCGATGAAAGTACTCTCCCTCTCCTTTTGGGCCTGATAGAGAACAGTCGTCATCCAGTCTCCATGGCTGTGACGAGCTACCTCAGGAGTATTGGCATTGAACCTTTGGCCGTCGGTGAACCGAAGAGTTTAACTGGTAAAGGCGTAGAAGCAGTTGTAAGGGGTCAGAGGCTGAAAGCTGGAAACTCCACATGGCTCAATCTCTCGGATAACCCTCCTATTCAGCCTATGCTTTCTCAAGGCCACACCGTCTTTTGTTTCACAATCAACGACGAGCTGCAGGCTGTTTACGGTCTCCAAGACGAACCTCGAAAGGACGCCTTTGCAGCGGTTGAAGCCCTGCACATGCGAGGCATATCAGTTCATGTGGTTTCGGGCGATGATGATACAGCTGTTCAGAACCTGGCATCCAAGTTGAACATCCCACAAGACAATGTGCGCTCACGGACTTCACCTTCTGGCAAACGGGACTATATCCAGACGCTCCTCGGTACTTCCACTGATCACAAAAAGCCGGTTGTCGTCTTCTGCGGCGACGGTACAAACGATGCAGTCGCTCTCGCCCAAGCCACCATTGGTGTTCACATGAATGAAGGCACAGATGTAGCCCAGTCCGCAGCAGACGTCGTTCTCATGCGTCCCGCTCTTGGTGGCATTATCACTATGATAGACGCGAGTCGAAAGTCGGTCAATCGCATCAAATTCAACTTCGGCTGGAGCTTCGTGTACAACACTTTTGCCGTTCTTCTCGCTGCTGGGGCATTCGTCAATGCCAGAATTCCACCGGAATATGCAGGTCTTGGAGAACTGGTGAGTGTTCTGCCGGTTATTCTTGCGGCTGTGCTTCTGCGCTGGTCGAAGATCTAGTTAGGATATTGAGACTCAATTTTGTAACAGCGCAGCTTCTGTTCACTCTCATTTGTCTTCGACCAGAAGTCCTGTAGCTGAATATTTCTTTCATGTTACGCTTGGTTTCGACCAGCACAGTGTTTCACGCCTGTCGTTACCGGACTCTATTGCTTTGAATTTCGACGAGAAACAGCGTCCTTGGGCGCCCAGAAAACATCAGTACCCTTCTATCCAAGCTCCATGGTGAGCTTCCTTAAACTACTGCGAGTTCTAACACAGACTTGGAGAGGGCTGAAGGGAGACTCGTTCAGTTTCTCCTTCAGTGTTCACTCGCTTTTACTATGTAGGCAGATAGTCTTCATTGTTCGCCACCTTGGCTTTGTTACAATAGCGAAGCTAAGCTGAGCAATGCCATTGAATCTCATATAATCTACCATGTTTCTAGTCCCGAATTGTGATCTCAGAATGAAATGAATCGATAATCTATCATTTACACGCATTGGCCTCGAGCCACTCGTAGGCACACAATATGGCAGTTATCAGTAATAATCTCTCTTATATATACTGCCAGAGTATAAATGCTTACCCAGAAGTGGGCCAGATTTCAGTTCATGCCTCCAACCATTATTACCCCCAAAGTCCGTTCCTTATTTTACAATATTACTATTACATAATTATACCTTGAGACCAACAAATAAACAAGCTCGCAAGGTTTCTCAGGCCGTTCCCAGAAATCAAATAACGAAATTCAAGATCCAAATACAAGTCCCCACGGTAACTCAGCCAACCACACCCAGCAAGAGAAAATGGGTACAAGGGCGAGCAAAATCCACCAAATTTCAATGGTGAGTTTGATTTGCATCCAATGTGGTAGTGTTCTACTCAGCAATGAGCGATGGGAGCATTTCTTTGTCCCATAAACAAGACAGCCCAGGCCAGGCCGAGATTCACATTCCACATGTTCTCGTCTTCGTTGCATGAGTAGACTATAACAATTAGTCCATGATTCATTTCAATCACATCAGAGGGTATTAGCTTACGGTACACTCCCGCGGCAGAAACGCAGATCACTACCGAGATCGCACCGTCGGTCGTTGGGGCATTCTAGATGGAGGCTTCGTCGTTCCACTAGCCATTCCACTTTGAGGTTGATACCAGTGTCGACCAGACTATAGAAATAGGCGCTGGTGTGTTTTAAAGATAGTGCATCTGGGTAGATGAGGAAATCGGATATGGCGAGATGTATTTCTGTTGGTAGAGACATGAAGGTCCGCTGCGCTCCGGAGGCCTTCCCGGCGTCGGGCCCGGTTGTGGGGCGACGGAGGACGTTGGACATTGTGGAACGGAGCGGGACGATCGAGTTCCGGAGGAGCGACAAATTACTATGAAGCCTTTGATCTAGATCTGGGAATATGCGAGGGCTTTGTATCTGGCTGCTGCCTTGTACGAGGCCAAGGACTTGGAAGCCTAATCGATAGTTTACCTAGGACATGCCGGGGTTGTTGTAGGCAGCGCCCAAGCCAATAGGGCAGTGCAGAAATCTAGGTCATTTATTACCTTAGTCGTTTCAGGGCACTTTCAGCTGTAGGACTATTGTTATAGAATTAGGTTCAAGGCTGAGAGCTCGAGTTTTATGTTAATTATTGTTATTCGAGGAGGCAGCCAAATATATATTCTACCTATTTCGGTTGTTAGTAGACGAGTGATAGTAAGAGTGAGAGCCGAATGCGGGCGTGTCTGTTTGCAAATTGAGACATGGCTATGGGCCTATGGCTATAGTTAGTATTGTTCTCCACACTCAGATTAGCCCCAGAATATTGTTTGTCTTGGACTTGACTGATTCATCTGCGAACATCAATTAATCACAATATCAATACCTCATCTCTTAGGTACCTAGGTAGATATTCTGCCTAAGGGGGTATTCTTAGGCAGTTGCGTATCACTTTCAGCACCCCACGTGACCCCGTGTACTCGCTCGCGTCTTAGTTTCCCTCTTCTACCAAAGGTATTGAGATCAGACGCCAAAACTCATCCTCGTCATTCATCATCAAAACCCTTGCTAAATTTAGCTGCAAGTGCCATTTTCCCCGCCGCATCCATTCCCTAAAACAATGATTCATCGCCTCGAACGAGAGCGGCTGCGATGACGTTAGATAGCGATAACGAGTTCGACTACGATTTCTCTGCCGAGGAAGAAGAATTGCTCCTTCAGTTGTCTGCTGAAGATAACAACGTCCCAAATAACGCAGAGATCGCAGCTATAGACTCTGTTCCTGAGAGGCACGATAGTCTGTACCCTCAAAATGTCGCTGGCGGCACATCAACTTCTGGCGTGGACCGCCTTCAGACAGAGTCCACGAATAGTCTGTACAGAGGCAAGGCTTTCCATCAACTCGACAAGTCTTCTGGTCTGCCAACGCCGTCACCAGCTTTATCCTCGATTGAGGACGTACTCTACCCGGATTGTACGTGACTATACCCTCAAGAGGCTTCAGCACTAACTGACCAAAGAGATTAGTGAGCAAAGCCTTGAAGGATTTGAAACCAAAGCCACCTCCAGAATCAGAATCAAGTGTCACTCCGACACCAGCGACTGAGGCCAATGAGGCTGATCCGTACGATGATGGCCGTTCACCTCTGCAACGGTTCAGGTCATATCCTAAGAGACCATTGACCGTGACTGATCTTACGTCTGGTGCTTGGTGCGAGCTGCAGTACTGGTATACCCTCACTCGCTTACCTGGGGGTCGAAGAACCAGAACAGCAGCCATGAAGCAAGGAACCAAAGTTCACAAAAAGCTTGAGGATGAAGTCCACACTACAGTTCAAATTGACATCATGACCAAGGAAGATGCATTTGGACTCAAACTGTGGAATCTGGTTCAAGGACTCAGAACCTTGCGAGACACGGGACTCACTCGTGAACTCGAAGTATGGGGCATGATTGATGGGAACCTCGTCAATGGAGTCATCGACAGCGTGAGCTACGAGAACCCCAATCCTGAATTTGAGGCAGAGCTCTCTAGTCAAGAGTCTGAAACGACCGGGCGGCAATCCTCATTGACTGACTACTTTCCGCCAAAAAACACAACTCATAAGAATGACTCGGGGCCAAAGATTTATCTTGCGGACGTCAAGACTCGCGGATCATTTTCTCCTGTGTCCAACGCTCAAATACGGCCTGCAAAGATTCAGTTGCTCTTGTATCATCACTTCTTGTCTAATATGGCTGCTGGAAAACTAGATTTCTTCAAAGTCTTTCGGCGATACGGACTTGATCCAGATGACGCCTTTTCAGATACTTTCATCGCCCAAGTCGGTAGCCTGCACGATGAGATCTTTGTGGATGCATCAGAAACAGAAACGGAGTTCACCCAAGAACATCCTTCCTCGAGTTTCCAGAGCTCTTCTTCAGCAGGGCCAGATCTGTTGCAGTATCGAACTCTACGCGAACTCATTCCTCTTGTCGAGCATGAGATAGGGCTCACTTTCCCTCAGGGCGAACACTCCCTTGGCCACATGCTTCGAGTTCAATACGTCCACCGCAATGATGGTCGTGAGATCGATCTTCACGACTTTCCTGTTTCGAGACAAGCCTTGGAGACCTATCTTGCTAACTACATGGATTGGTGGAAAGGGAAACGCGATGCAAGAGGCGTCGATATAGAGGAAGCGTTCAAGTGTAGAACATGTGAATTTGCTTCCGATTGTTCGTGGCGTCAGGGCATGGATGATGAGATGTTACAGAGAGCCAGGGCGCAGCAAAAGATACGGGCTACGCGTCGGGCACGTAGCAATGCTGCGTAAGATTGGAGACAATCTGGATATCATGACTTATGATGCATTGGAACATGTTACGAGAATAGTACGAATTGTTCAGGTCTATGAAATCCATAAAAAGATGTTGAGCATAAACAAGACATTTTGTTGAGTAGTTGTATTGATTCATACTGAATTCTATTTATCGTCTAGTCCTAACCGAAGTTGTCTATGTGAAAGAAAGGAAAAGGAGGAAAAGGAGGGTCAGCTAAGTGTTCACTGTATTTAGTGCTTTCTATGTCGGTGAGTACGGGTCATTCCAAAACCCCAGCCATCTATACCATTGTCAGCATGGTCTTTCAAGTCGCATATATTCGAGACTTACATTGAGAAGCGACGTGGATGTCAACATCCAGCTCATCCGCCCAGTGCCACACAAGGTTAGGATCCTTGAGGAAGCCCCGTCCCACCAACACAGCATCTACAGAGTCATCACTCAGATAACCCTGGGCCTGCTTTCCAGAGGTGATCATTCCCACTGAAGTCACAGCGACTCCGGTATCCTTGACAGCTTTCTTCACGGCGGCAGCGTACGGGACTTGGTAACCAGGGCCAGAAGTGATTTTCTGACGGCTATCCAAACCACCGCCTGAAATATCGATCAGATCGATGCCGTTCGCGGCGAGGATTTGACCGAGCTTTGCGGCTTCTTCGATATGCCACTGTGGTAAAGACGAATCGAACTCTAGGTAGTCTGTTCCTGGCATGCGGACAAGGAGGGGAAAGTCCTCGGGGACGATATCACGAGTGAGTTTAACGGTCTCGAGAAGGAGGCGAATACGGTTTTCAAAAGAGCCGCCGTATTGGTCCGTTCGTTGGTTTGAGGCTGGGGAGAGGAATGCATTTAGGAGATATCCATGTGCAGCGTGAACTTCGATGGCCTAACGAAGTCAGTGTCTATCAAATCAGATGTATTCTCTGAAGATCTCACATCAAAGCCAGCCTTGAGAGCTCTTTTCACAGCAGCAACCCAATCTTGCTTGAATTTGGTAATGTCATCGCTTGTCATCTCCCTGGGAGTGAGAGACTCTGGGCTATAGGGAATTGCACTTGGTGCAACCACTTCGTCCGGCCAGCCACCAGCCTGTAAGCAATAAGTCACTGATCACGTACATGTCGTGGTGAGTATCCTACCTCTTTGACCGCTGTGTTCTTGCGATCCAGCCAGGGCACAACAGTACTCGCCTTTCTCCCAGCATGACCCATCTGAATGGCAATCTTCGCTCCTTGACTATGCACGAAATCCGCAATCTCCTTCAGAGGCTCAAGCTGTCCATCCTCCCAGATGCCGGCATCTTGAGGGCTGATTCGTCCTTCTGGTGACACTGCATTTACTTCTGTGATGATGAGTCCAGGGCCACGTGCGGCGAAACTTCCGAGGTGTTGCTTGTGCCATGGGGTCATGTAGCCATCCTTAGCAGAGTATCTGTAATGTCTGTTAGGTATTTGGTAGTGGTGCGTGCTAAGAGGTTGCATACTGGCACATTGGTGATACGATGATACGATTGTGGAGCGTTAGACCTCGTAGTCTGAGGGGAGAGAATAGGCTGCCTTCGGGTTGGACATCCCATGGGGTTCCTGCAGGAGGGTCTTGGATAGGAGTGTAGAAGGGAACCTTTGATTGTGTTAGTGAAAGATATGAATTGTGAGTGTATCAAAGAGACAAACATCTTTGGCTCCGACGTTTATGAGGATCTTTGGGTGACCATTTGCTTCGACTGAACCCATGTTTATTATCTTGATAAAACTGAGATATTATTTGGTAGGGTATCGGTATTCGATGATAGTGGTAGTGGTAGAGTTGATCAAGAGTAATGGACTTGAGTGGAAGATGTTTTCTGACAAAGGAGGCAAGGCCATATACTTATACTTGATCCAAGAGAAGGTCTTTACACTGTGAAATATCTCCAAGACTTGTGATAAACCCGAACAGCGAGTCCTCTAAACCCATGTTTCACGAAAAGCCATGCAAGGTAATTGTCGTAATCACATCATATTCTGCATCGGCTTCACCGAATGGGATATCTTGGTTCTCGGTTTTCGGCATGATGCATCGCTTATGAATATGTGTGGCTTGCCTTACCAAGAATGCATGGAACGTTGAGTGACGAAAAGTCTACTGATTACGGAGTATGTGCAGTGTTTTTCCCGAGTAAGTCGGCCGACTCTGAGATGTGCTCTATTGGGCCATTGACAGCATTCTTGTCATTAGAGGGTTGCTGTGCGATCGCCTACGTATGAAATCATTTCAAAAAGTACTATAGTCTTTAACGAGAATGTTCAATGACCAAGACATTAAGGAAGAGGGCATAATTAAGTTACAGTTCCAGGTGGTGTTGTAAATATCTGGGTAATAAGTTCAAAGAGCCTCAGGAACCAAAATGATTTAGGTTAGGCAACCTCGCATTCTAGAAGAACTTCCCTTCTTCAAGCATCACTTACAACTCCCTACAACTGAGCCCCCACAACCCTAGCATCATGCAGCGCTATAGAGAAGACGCCTCTGATGAGAGCCAT